TGAGCCTTATTAGCATGTAAGTCTGTACAACAGCTTATTTCTGAATAGTTTTTATTTATTTCTGCTTATTGTTTATTGGCGTACATGTAAAGTATGTATTTCAGCACGACATGGCGGTGACCAAAAGCAGTTGTGTTTAATACCTCAATATCTCCACTTCCACAAACACAGGATGTGCTGGATATTATGAGGATTTCTCCACAGAAATGCCTCCTGCTTTAATATCCCGGTGCACAATAAAAGACGAACCCTCCTCTCTTCAAAACCACCTCTTCCTGCCGCTTATTACTAACAGACATCAGCATGACAGAGCAATATGGAAGCAGACTGTACTCTTAAGAATATGGATGAAAAGGGTTTGATGTATTTATGAGTTGATAGAAATACTACAAAAAAAACATGTTTAAAAGTGTACTTTGATATATTTCTTGTCTTTAGACTGAAAAAAAGCCTCCTCCCCGTCCAAAAATAAAAGTCAAAACTGAGAAGTGCATGAAAAAATAGTTCAGATTTTTTATTTTAATTTTTTTTTTACATGTTTTTTTTTTTTTTTTTAACTGAAATGTTCTTTGGAGGTAACCAAAAAAGTTTTTTTTTCTGTTGCAAAAATAAATAAATAATAATAATAAAAAAACTTTTAAGACTGCAAAAAAGAAAAAAAATATGGGGTGGTTTTCAAATTTAAATGTGCGAGCTCTCAGTTTTCCAGGCTTGAAAAAAGAAAAAAAGCCAGAGGTGGTGCGATGACTTTTGCAATGTAAATTACTCATAAAAGGTGTCAGAAGTGAACCGGAGGGTGTAATCTATACCCATCTCACTGTTATGGCGGCTAAGAAGAGCCTTTGCTAGGGTAGACAGCAGTAACCTACAGCAAGGGTGGAGTGAAACAGGCCTGCAATGTTGTTGTTTTTTTGCATTAAAGCAGAGTTTCTGATTTCTCAATACAAGTAAAATCACAGTTTTTGTTTTGGGAAGCAATCTGCATCAACATGAATTATTGCAAAAAATCCTATTTTAAAAGTATCTAAAAATGTTCAATTTGTTATTAAATCTTTTATTTTCTTTTAATTTATAAATGCAGCGAATGTTCATGTATGGGTTATATAATAAATGGCGTATTTCATCAGTATTACAGGTAATACTGACTGCTTTATGTGCACATGCGTCAGAGCTTGAAGGCAAACAAACAGCAGGCTATCATAAGCATTTTATCGATATTTTTTTTACACAGTTGGCATTAAAAAGGTATAGATATGTTATCTGACTAACATCTAGCAGCTAAATGTGTGTGGAAAAATATTCACAGGCTTTTTTCTTTATAAACCGTGTGGATGTGAATGCGTCTGAGTGTTTTGATTGGCTAAAGTAGATGTCTAGAACATCTAGTGTTCACGTCTAGAACGCGCTGTTTCCGGCAATCTTCCTTCAGCATTCACACAGCGCAGCTTTCTGGCAAATTATCGGTGATGTTACAACTTCTCTTTCCGGAAAATAGCCGGAACAAATTTAATGGTATTTTCAAAAACTGCGTTCACATCTTACCAGCAATTTCAGGAAAGAGCTGTATGTGTGAAAGGGGCTAATGTTTATTTATTTGGGGGGGGCGGGGTAAAAGGTGACTGATGCAAGCTGCTGCTCCACACAGCGACAGAGAAGGCTTGGCAGAGCGAAAAATACTTTACTGCATTACTATTTTTGTTACATAAAGTTTTGTATCTGAACTAGGTTCCAGAGGCAGTTTATAAACTTGTAGCGTATTTAAAGCAGAGTTTGATCGGTATATTATTCCATTATGCTGCATTATTGACACCTGCAATCTGTTGCTCTCTGTTTACGTAAGTTAGCTCTGTTAGCGCGGTAATTAAGACAATAGACTGTTGACAGAGTAACGTTAACGTTCGGTTATAAAGGTTAAAATGATGCTTGTGTAGTTGTGTCGAATTGTATGCACCTATAGGAGTTTTATGGTACGTTTAAATTACTGTCATTTGCAGACAGCAAGATATATGCTAAGCTAGTTAACCTTAGCATAGCTTCCCGAAAAAAAACTTGCTCCAGTTCTTTGTGGAAGAATTTTACAGTCAGTGGTGCAGCAGATAAAACAGTGATACTGTATGTAATGTGTGCAAAAGTATATCTTAAGTATATATATATATATATATATATTAAAAAATATCGCAATATATATCCCAGGGGAAAAAAATATCGCAATGTCAATTTTTTCCAATATCGTGCAGCCCTAATAGAAACCTATGTTTAGAATTTTAAAATGCATGGCACTGCGTTGCGCGACGCTGAGCATCGCCGAGCGGCGCTTCTGGTGTGCGACCTGCAGGCAAGTTTGTTATTTTATTTCCAATGGAGGGACAATCAATATTAGTGGGCGGGGGGACCACACTTCTACGTCAAGTTGTGGTCGTTTTAAAAGCCGGTCCAGTTGGTTCACTGTTTTCATGTTGTTAAATTGAAAAAAAAAAAAAAGGACTGGTGTGTTTATATCACCCCAATATGACGGTCTATACACTATACCTACACACGTCTGTCCAAACAGTGTGGAAAGTAGATTTTTCACCATAGGTGCCCTTTAAATTATTCTTTATAAACTGTTTGCAACTAGTTGCCTTAAAAAAATTGTAAATCCAATGAATCTTTTTTGTGTGTGTGTGAAAAAATGTATGTTTGTTATATTTTAAAATATATTAAAATAAAGTTATTTGATTGTAATATTGTTTTCACAATATAAATGTTGCTTTGTAGATGAAGTAAATGCTATTTATGTGAGCAAGAATCGTCCATGATATGGGAATATTGAATTTTTGTAATTGAAAAAAAGTGGAAGTAAATAGAAAAAGCTATTGGGCAACATCTCAGCGTAGTGGTGCTTATGAAAGTCATCTCTGGAGGCGCTTTGTTGCAGCACCAAACCACATTTATGCACGTCCGACAACCTTCATTCCTGCCATTATTCCATGAATAGTTTCTATAAATATTTATTGTTCTTGGCATGAAGGCATGACTGTCTGTGTTCTGCTGGTGTCGCTGGGCAGCTGTGGGACTGGTAGACTGGCACTGCCCTGCTCCATCACACCCTGAAGATGAATGATATGTAGAAAGATACCTCTTTTTTTGTATTTTAGTCTTACTTTTGTGGTAGTAGGTTGGGTTAACCTGGTTATTTTATCTTGACCATGTAGAATACTGTTCAAATGTTTGGGTTCAATTTCATTATTTATTTTTAAAATGTTTTAAATAAGGATGTTTTAAATTCAGTTCAATTCACCTTTATTTGCATAGCGCTTTTACAACGTAGATTGTGTCAAAGCAGCTTAACATGGAAGTTCTAGTAAATGAGACAGTGTCAGTTGAAGTTCAGTTCAGTTTAGTTCAGTTCAGTGTGGTTTAATTTTCACTGCTGAGAGTCCAAACACTGAAGAGCGAATCCATCCATACACACACACACACACACATATATATATATATATATATATATATATATATATATATATATATATATATATATATATATATATATATTGGCAAGAGAAGAAATGGTCATGCCCAACTGAGCCTGGTTTCTCTCAAGATTTTTTTCCTCTACTTTTGTCAATTGGTAAAGTTTGTTCTCACCACTGGCTTGCTTGGTTTACTAAACTAAACTGAACTTCAACTCTGAAAACTGTACTGACAGTTTCAATTTACTAGCACCATTCTATGTGAAGCTGCTTTGACACAATCTACATTGTAAAAGTGCTATAGAAATAAAGATGAATTGAATTGGTTCATGTGTAATTTAGACATTTCTAAGAAAATACTGTGTTAATTTTAAAATGCTCGTTTCGATTATCGGGTTGCTATATGCAATAAAACTAAATCTTTAAAATATTTTTATGTTCATTCAGTACGAAGAAGTTGCTTATCAGATACCATGTTTTTTTTTATTAAATTGTGAAAGCACTTCATGTTCAAATGGGCCAGGTTGCATTTTTAACTTATAAAAAACTGGGATATTTCTTTAAAACTAATGAATATCCAAACATTTCAAAAAATCACAAATGTTTTTTTTTTGTGAAGAGTGCAGACTTTTCACTTTGTGTGAAACCTAATAATCGACACTGAAGATTTTATCAAGACCATGCGTTTAATATGCATTACTTAGATAATAAACCTTACCATTTTTCTGGAGTGCAGTAAGTGCACTATTCTGTGCTTCTGAATGGCTGTATTTAAGTTCCGTCTGGTTATCGGCGCCAATAGCCTAGTGGTTAGTGCATCGACACATAGTATCCAGGTGCTCGCGGCGACCCTAGTTCGATTCCTTTGCTAATCCTTCCTCTATCTCTGCTCACAATTTCCTGTCTGTCAATCTCCACTGTCCAATCAATAAAGGTGAAAAGCCCTAAAAATATATATATAATAATTTCCGTCTGATGCAAACAGCCAAATTGCTTATCACTGCGTATCGCCATGTAGCGTGTTGTTGGACACGTGGTTACAATGTAACCTGCTCACCTAAAGTTTACGTTTGTAATATTAATATAATTTGCTAATTAATAACCACCTCAAGTGGAACTCTGAATCTGCGTCTCATTTTTGGAGTCTGCTACTGTCCACCAGAGGTCGCATTTCAGTCACGGACAAATACTTTGAGAGCCTTCGAGACTGAATGAATGATATATGCTGCTTTCCACCAAGTCAACCCAGGGTGCTGAAATATAATTGGCTAAACTAGCATTGGGTGTTTTAAATGACCAAAACAAAGACCGACCTTCCAGCATGTAGTGTAATTAAAGAAGAATATCTGACTTCAGCATTGTTTTTCAGATAAACAAGAATGTTTCTTAATATCTGCAAACATATTATGATATTTTTATGCTTTAGAAGAGTCAAACACTAACATAAAGCACCTTTAAACCTGCTGTAAACAATCATTTATGTATGGTCGCTTTAGAGAAACTTTGGTAGCTAAACTTCTATGAGCAATAAGCACAAGCACAAGGATGTCAGTCTTTGACACAGCATATATTTCAACTTAACATACATTCATATGAAATATAGTCCTCTTCAGTGTATAAGTCTTTACAAACCTATGTTTCTTTTAAAAAGCATACTGGATAGCGAGTCTTACTATAGAAAAGCGTGGAGTTATGGTATCGTACATAAATAAATTCAGTCTCTGGGTCTGACTAATGGAGCAGGGAATGCTGGGGGATTTGTTTATTTGTGGTATGTGCGTCTGGAGAGGAAAAGTGCTAGAGTCATCGTGCACAGAATCCACGGTCCAAGCACCCCCGAGCGGGTAAACAATTTACGCTATGTCAGTTTTGCAGCCAGATGCATCGATAGCTAGTTCTTATTTCCGAAAAAAGCTCCCTTTTGAACAATATCTCCACTCCGTCCCATTCGGAGTTGCTTCGCATCCCTACCGAAAGCAGGGCTCAGTTTAATACTCGTTCGTACGTCAATTCTCGAATTCAAGCAGCATCACAGGAACAGCCACGAGTTCGATATATTTTCAGTTCAACGTCTATCAAGCAGCATTAATGAAGAAAAGACTGAAAACGTTGACTTTTCTCCGCGTTCATGTGCCCTTGATTCCCAATGGTGCGCGTCACATTAACAAAAAACAGATTCACTCTCAATTCCATTGCAATAAGTTAAAAAATAGATATATAAAAAAATATAAAGAGAGCAAATTGAAACAGAATGCATGGAGAGAAAAATACTCTCAGTTGGGACTCTTGGCTATACACTCGCCCCTATAATTTAAAGTCTCATGTATGACATGTTCCTCTTATCGTTGAAATGTCTCTGCGTTCCCTATGGGTGGGCGTGGTCAGGGATCACCGACACGTGTGCATCTCCACCATCTTGCGACACTGTTTGCATTTGACGTAGCAGCACCAGTGGAACTTGCAGCTGCAGCGGTCCACCACCTCCACCTCCTCCGTGTGGAAACCGCGACCGCAGCACATCAGCTCGCAGCCGTCGATGGCCTTGGAGGTCTTGTTGCAGAATCGGCCCGCCGTGCCCATTATACCGGGCGTTCTGGGGTCATGCTCGCAGAAGTCTGGACTCGGGTCCAGGTAGACCAGATCTTCGTCTGTGTGCGGCTTGAATTGTGAGTTTCGGGGCACCAGGACTTTGGTGGTGCCCACTTTGCGCAGCTCCACTTCTGTGGCACCGTCGAATTTCTCCTTTATGACGTTGCCCACTTTGCGGAAAGGCGGCATCGCTTTCCAGCAGGTCTTGACTTCGCAGGAGCCTGAAACGCCGTGGCATTTGCACTCCACTCTCATGTGGTTGAGAATCGCCTGAGAGAGGGGAAAAAAAAAGATGTTTAGAAACATCAGAGTTTACACTCTAAAAAAGGTTCTTTGGGCTTTTAATTGGTTTGTAATCATTGGAGAACCAATTTAAGAGTGTTTTCACACCTAGACCTTTGTTTGAGAAACTGGTGTGTTTGCCCTGTTACCTCAGTTTGTTTGGGCATATGTGAAACCTGCAGTCGTACTCTGATCAACACCAAAACAATCAGTCTAAGGGACATCTTGGAATGACGTGGTCTCGGCTTGGTAGAAACGAACTTAAGAGCGGATCGGTTGTAGCGAGAAAACAATATGATCCAATGAACTAACAAACCAGGTTATATCACAGTGTATTATGGATGTGTCATAGGCATATGTTTGGCTATAAGAAGAGGGAATAATGAGTAGGGTGAATGTCATACCTACCGGTTGAAGTGGATTTTATTTTGAATACGAAAGTGAAAGCACACTGTCTAATTTACAGTATATATCAACTTTTTGGTTAACTCAGCTTCTGATATAGAATCGATATTTATTTTACAACCCTTGACAATTGAAATGAGGCTATGTATGCGAAATTCGCATAGATATGGGTGCTCCGATTTCCCCCACAGTCCGAAAACGTACACTATACATGAATTAAATAAGCTAAATCAGCCGTAGTGTATGTGTGTGAATGCAAGAGTGTATGGGCGTTTCCCAGTGTTGGGTTGTGGTTGGAAGGGCATTCGCTGCGTAAAATAATCTGGATAAGTTGGCGGTTCATTCCGCTGTGGCAACCCCTGATTAATAAGGGGACTAAGCGGAAAATAAAATAAATGGATGAATGAATGAAGCTGAGCAGAACCAATGTGAGGAGAGTTTACTGGCATGTGACTTGTTTTAGCTCTTTTGGTCCGTTTAGAAACTTTGCCATGAACCGCACCAAGAACAAAAATAAACATTGTAACAATTTTAATCCCTGTTTTGGAACAAAACAATTAATCTACAGGTGTGAAAGCACGCTAAGTGATATATAGAACCTGTAATGGTGTCCAGTAGTTCTTTGGGTGGTTAAAAGAACATTTAACTTTTATGGAAATAGACAAATTTACAAATACCTCTCCTGAGGAGCACATTTAGCTTCGCATAAATCCCGAATCAGTTACATCTGTCTTAAACAAAAACAAACAAAAGACTTTCAATAATTTTCCTTTTTAAAACTTGACTCTTCTTGAATGATGTTATAAAGCACCTGAAAATAGTCCCCAGCTAGATAACAGCGATGCGTAATACCGTTGCGCCTGCTGCAGCCATAGTACGGCAGCAAAGTTAATTATTTAATAGGCCAGAAAGAGAGGTTACTTTTCTGTCTGTCTTAGTGCACAATGTAGAAGAGAAGTCAAGCTTAAAATAGGAAAATTACGATACTTTTTTTTTTTTTTTTGGATCAAGATGCAAACGGTCTAATCTGATACAATTATCTATGCTAAGCTAAGGTAAAACTGTTCCCGCCAGACACACAGATCAACTGAATGGATTCAAATAGGGTAAAACCAACACAATCTTATGGCAAGGCGTAACTTTTTGATTTAGTGGCTAATTTGTATGAATTCGTATGATCTAATTCGTACAATTTAGTATGATTTGCTCATCCCCCAATGACTGTTGGTTTTGGGGGTGTGGTTGGGTGCCACGCCTCCTTTTTAAACTCATACAATTTTGTATGACTGAACTCTAATGAATTCGTATGAATTAGCCACTCAACTGATAAAACTTAATATACTTATGTTTTTTCATGAGATCATGCAGGGTAAAACTCAACTGTTTAACTCTAGGAGAGCTGTATAATGATCCATTTTTAAGTGGAGCATTTCTTTAAGGTGCAATATATAGCACTGTAAACACTAAAACAAATTAAATAGCAATTAGATAGCTAATAGATAGCACTTCCCCTATGATTACAAGGCAACAAAGCATTTTTAGTGCTACAAAGCACCTACAGTAGTCAACATTGGAAGTGGATCATCACCGTTCATCAAAGTAGTCACGTATTTTGATGGTCCGTTTGTTGAATTTAAGTTACATTGCATCTAAATGCCAATTAATTCTCATTAGATTATGAGTAAACTGTTAGGTTGGGGTTAGTGTAAGTTGACATGTACTTGCAAAGTTTCTTATAGTCAGTTTAATGTTTGTTAAAGGAGCAGTATCAACAGATATTAATCAGACAGTCTACTAATACTCAAATGGACCATCAAAATAACGTGTTACCAAAAGTTGTCCTAAATCTTTTGGAAAACACCCATTCTTGTCCTAAGACAATTTTGGAAAACATTTTTGGTTCACTTCAAGTCAAATGTTGACTACTGTATAGTGCTTTACAGAACTTTAACCACTCTCCAAAAACACAGGAGGACAATTACAGGTTCTTTATAGGTTCCATGTTGCACTTAAAGTGATTAAAGCAGCTCAGTTTAGCACCGCTTTTTTTTCTTCTGTTTTTTTAAATAAAGAGTTTAGTAACAGCCATGTTTGAAATGTTTCTTACTTTTCTTCCTGCTTCATTGTTATGAAGGTTCATTAGGGCTCTGTTGGATGACTGTCCTTTACTCCGTTCCCTGATGTCCACGAAGGATTGGGAGAAAGCAACCCCATATGCAATGTTATCTGAGCATCCTGACCACTGGAAACCTGGTGAGATAAAGACGGTCAAGGTTGAAGTTATGTTTGAAACTATTGGTTTGGAATGGATTGGCAAATTCATTTCCAGGTTAGAGACAACAAATTCTCGACTCGCTCATTACTCTGTTTGAAAATATTTCTATCAATAAGTAATTTGAACTTATGCTTTTATATTAGTTTAAATTATTGAAGTAAAACATTTTTTAAAGATTTAATGATCATTTTTAATTTTTTAAGTTATTAAAAAATCATTTTCTTTTGTGTTTCCTTTGTGTTTAAACCAAGCGGCAACCTCCCGCTCTCCCTCAGGAAGCCAATACGGAAGTAACTAAAACTGCAATTCATGCGAAATTCCGCTAGTCCTGGCCGCTCCTGGCTCCAAAACAGAGCAAATTTCAATTGAGCCCACTGTTAGAATGGCCAACTTTACAGCAGAAAAAAAGGTGTTTACAGCCTGGTACAAAAAAAGATTTTGGTTAATACAGCTAATATTACCCTTCATGACAACTGTGAGGGGGGGTGAATTTTTTTATAACTCATCCGTTTCCTTTATATTATGTTATATTAAGTTTGCATAATTAAGGGCGTGGCCACTTGAGTGACAGCTTGGTCTCGTTGGTCACTGTCACGTCACCTCAGCTGAATCCTGCAGATTAGCCACTGAACTCTGCATATTTATCGTATTTCTGTGTTGTTTTATGTGGCTTTACACAGTCAACTGCCTTTTGGACTTGTTTCCCACAATTATTAGATGGCATGGCATGCTGAGGGCACTTTATTGTGCTCACAAACCATTCACGTGGCCTCCGTTTCCCATGTGGGTAAAGTTATATACCTATATACCATCTCTGTACATGTATTTGTTTTATTTAAGATCATTTATCGTTTATATTTATATTCAGAGCTGTAATGCACTTCAGAATCTGTCAGATTGATTAGCTGTAGGCTCTAGAACAGTCATCTGAAGCGTTGTCATACAGTGTTATGCTGGATTTTATCAATAGTCTTACAGTAACTAACACAGACTATATCTGAAGTGTTTGTAAGTAATTCGCGTTTTCCTCCTGTTGAAAAACGTCATAAGAACAATGTTTAGTGGCTCAATGTATTACAGCAGTGTTTTTAAAAGTCTAAACACTTTATTGATATAGTATACAACCAAGCACAAGTGGTCAGAATACAAACGAGTCACAGGTGATAAAGTATTAAGCGTTTCTCCCAAAGTAAAGTGTGTCTGAACCAGGTCCAAGCTAAATGCTAGCAGGTGTCTGTAGCTCCGCTCACTCTCCGCCTCTTTGCCCTTGTTTGGTATCCCGCCATGGGTTTGATGACGCGTGACCAAAATGGCAACGGTTGGCCGCGCCTACTTGTGGCTTCTTTTGCGCTCATCAGAAACCTATGGGTGACGTCACGGATACTACGTCCATATATTTTACAGTCTATGGTTTAAACATGCGAATGCCTAATAAACTATGTCAGATTATATTTTTGGGTGAACGGTCTCTATAAAGCAGAAGATATCTATAAGAAGAACCAAATATGAAAAAAAACCTGAAGCTTTTTGTTTAAGTGTAGTAATGTTAGAATATAAAATAGTCTGTCTGCCTTTTTTTCCAGGTAGATAGGGCATCATTTTGAACCATTATTATTTTAAATATCAGTCATTACAACTGTTGTACAAATGAAGCGCACAAACCTTCTGGACTGACTCCGTGAACATTACGGTCACATCCACACTTGTCCAGCTCTCCACTGCTGCAGGCTCTGGTCACTGCAAATGCTACGCTAGCTGCGGATATGGCATATACAAATGCAGCTTCCCTCGTACCTGTGACAGAAATACATCACCGTTAAACTTCCACAGGGCAGAGATGGCTAATATCTATTTCAAGGGGTCCTATTGTGCGACTCCTGGGTTTTTCACAATTTAAATTTAAAACCTAAACCCAACGAATACCTTAACTATTAATAAACAGCTCATTAGTAGTTTATTCAGCTAATAGTGTTCATTACTGGTGTGTTAATACCATCAATTGTGACCTAAACTAAAATGTAACTTAATATATGTGTCTCTAAATGCAAATGAGCTGCTGGTTCCTTTATTCTGGCCATTTCAGTTACTCTAGCCACAATAACCCAAAAAACTGCATGCATTTTAAAATCTAGTCAGTTTAAACTGCTTTTTTTATGAGCACACAGATGCGAAAATCACACCAAGTCAGTTTATATATATATATGGAAGTTTTTTCTAACAAAAATTTTAATGAAAATTCAAATGCCTAAAAAGATCAATTAAATGATCAAATAATAAATGCATTCTCATTGCTATCAAATGTATTTGATATTTAATTTTCATGAACAATTCAGTAAAATCCTGTAATAATTAAATGCTCAAACTATAAATCAAACAGAGGAACCAGTTTCTGATTACACACACACAGCTGGAAGCTCATGATGGACTGATCACAAGGACTATAAAGACACCTCATTCACACAGACTCTTTGCTGAGTCTTGTTCTTTCCTGTGAAGCATTACAAAGCATTTTCCCTGTTTGTCCTGCCATGTTTTGATCCTTGTCTTGTTTAAGCTTATTGTTGTTTTGCTTCCTGTCCTGTTTCTAATTCTACTAACCTTGTGTGACCACTTTCCCAAACACAGGAACGCTCTCCAGCGTGGAGCAGTTCCATCGGCGGTTGCGGAACTGATACTGGCACTCGTCGATGGCGAGCTGAGCTCCTCTGCGCACCGCATCCATCACCTCCACATTACGTTTACAGATCTGAACCTGCCTCTGGATGAGTCCTCGCAGCTTCTCACACGTCTCCTCATCAGAGATGCTCCCCACCGACGACAGCTTGGCCAGGTATCTAAGGACAAACACGACATAGACTATCATTAAGAGGCTTTTGGGGAACACTTTAGAATAATTGTCTATTAGTTATGGGGCACCTATTTTACCCCTTTTACAAGATTTAAGGTAAGTCTTTTGTGTCTCCAGAATGTGTATGTAAAGTTTTAGCTCAAAACACCCATCAGATTATTTATTAAATCTTTATGAATATTGGAATTTTCAGCTCTGACCACATCATAGCTGTTTTTGTTGCCTGTGCCTTTAATGCAAATGTGAGTGTCCGTTAAGATTTGGCTGCATCAGATAAACAGCACAGTGACAAACATAAAGGAAGCAGATTTCACATAACATTTGTGAGAAATACTACAATAAGAACTTTACCAATGATTATTTGATGTATTTGTTGTGGAGTTAATTCAAGCCTTTCTGCAATGATAAGTCGCACACAATGTCGTTACAACCCCCGATAGAAATAAAGTGGGCTTCCCCAAAGGCAACAGTATAGTTCAAACACTTAGCCCTTTATTAATCCCGGGTCGCCACAGTGGAATGAACCACCAACTTATCCAGCATATGTTTTATATAGCGGATGCCCTTCCAACTACAACCCATCACTTGAGAAATATCCATACATACTCATTCAAACACATACACTACGGACAATTTAGCCCACCCAATACAACTATTACTATTACCACATGTTTTTGGGCTTGTGGGGGAAACCGGAGCACCCGGAGGAAACCCACGCCAACACGGGGAGAACATGCATCCCCACACAGAAATGCCAACTGACCCAGCCAGGGCTTGAATCAGCGACCTTCTTGCTTGGAGGCAATTGTGCTACACACTGTGCCACCGTGCTGCCCCTATTCCTATCCATTCTATTCTATTCCACTATATGCTGTATCATTCTATTCTATTCTATTTTATTCTATTCTATTTTATTCTATTCTTTTCTATTCTATGCTGTATAATTCTATTCTATTCCATTATATGCTGTATCATTCTATTCTATTCTATTCCATTCTATGCTGTATCATTCTATTCTATTCCAATATATTCTATTCTTTTCTATTCTATTCTATTCTTTTCTATTCTATTCTATGCTGTATAATTCTATTCTATTCCACTATATGCTGTATCATTCTATTCTATTCTATTCTATTCTATTCTATTCTATTCTATTCTATTCTATTCTATTCTATGCTGTATCATTCTATTCTATTATCTTCCAATATATGCTGTATCATTCTATTCTATTCTATTCTATTCCATTCTATGCTGTATCATTCTATTCTATTCCAATATATTCTATTCTTTTCTATTCTATTCTATTCTATTCTATTCTATTCTATGCTGTATCATTCTATTCTCTTCCAATATATGCTGTATCATTCTATTCTATTATATTTCACTATATGCTGTATCATTCTTTTCTTTTCTATTCCATTATATGCTGTATCATTCTATTCTTCCATTCTTTATTTCATTATAATTCTTTCACAACTCTCTCTCTCTCTCTCTCTCTCTTTCTCTCTCTCTCCACCCTCTCTCTCTCTCTCTCTCTCTCTCTTTCTCATTTTTTTTTGATTAAACACTCTAATTGGGTTGTTATGGTTTCCATTAACCTTAACCCTGACCTATACATCGCTCTTCTAATTCAGTGACCCACCATGGGTTTCTCATCGGCCCTATAGCACAATAAACAGCTGTAACATAAACAGTATGGTCTTGCTGTGTGCTCGGCAGATGAGGTAATGCTGATTTTAAAAGAGGTGGATAGGAACTATCTTCACCCATCACCTCCAGGGCCACGAGGTCGGGGCAACACCATCACTTTAAAGAGCTCCATCTCTTCAAGCCACCTTATAAAAATAGTCCTATACAACAACACGGCGCTCAGGTTTTCATCCGAACACACCGAGCTTGCTCTCATTATCATCAAGAACGGTTACAGATCAAAGTTGTGGATGTTTAAGTTCCGGCTGATGCATTTCGGGAGTTGCGTGCAGGTGATGTTTGCAAAGGCGTCACGCATGGTTGTTTTGCCTTTATTTGTTTCTAAGGATCTTTTGGTGTGGTGATGACTAATTGGAAAGCAGGCCCAAATGTAAAGTCCCAAGAGTGGCTTTAAAGGTACAGTTGTGTAAATATTCAAGGTTGCCAGATCTTGCGGTTGATTGATTCGGATTGTAGCTCAAGGGTTATCATCAAAATCAGCACAGATCAAGAAATGCTCATCATATAATTGCGAGTAAATATACTTAAGAATGAGGGTTGTTTGTGCAGCAGTGCCACAGAAGAGACCTTTCGACTTAAAAGAAGCACAATATATTGTCAATATTGCAACGTGTGCATCCGTAGTAGTCAAGATATATGCAACGTTGAGTTTGGAATATAGTTGATTATATAGTTAATTATAGTTAATGAAGAAGAGTGTAATTATAATCGGGTGAAAGTTTATTATCTGAATGTGTTTTTAACCCCTTAACTGTTGCCCAAACTTTTTGAACATAGGTGTAACGGATGATGCTGGACAACAGACATGCAAATCCACATGCAGTTAATTAAAAAGAGAAGTCATGCAGGCAATGGTCAAAAACAGGAGCAAACTGTAGCATGAAGATAATCCAAAATATGTGGTTGAAAAACAGGCAAATGGTCAGGCTGGGCGGCAAAGAATCAAAATGGTAAACAAGACACGGATCAAAACACTGCAAGTCAAACAGGAAAAATACTTTATGTTCGCTAGGTGAAAACAAGACTCAGCAATGTATGTGTGTGACAGTTGAATATAAAGTCCAGGATAAGCAGGCAATTATGAGTTACAAGCTGTGTGTGCAATCAGGGGGAAACGGGAACTGGTGTGTGTGAAGTGCATGATGGTATTTGTAGTCCAGTTCAGTGACAAATGTGTAGTTCTCCAGTGAGTATTAGATCACTGGTGATCATTACAATAGGCATGAAAATGTCATGTTCAACTAAAATGATTTCTGACCCTCATTGGTACATCCATTTAAGCTTGGTCACATTTTTAAAAAGACCGATGTCATATTGTAGCTGAAGTGAAAAAGTTAAATAAAAAGATAACGTGTGCCTTTGTTTTGAAGATAATTAAACAATACATTTATATCTTATTATAACACATAAAATATGTAATTTTCAAAACCTGTTTTAGCCAAAAACCTATAGTAAATCTAAGCTAAATATCTGAAGAAATTCTGAATTTTACGTTGATATCTCTAAAAAAGAGCTTCCAGTAAGATTTAGTTTGGCTGCAGTACCGAACATGACCACCAGTTTCCATTGGTAAGCATACAAGGGCGCCCCCTATGTTTTAATTAATATGAACAGATTTTTTTTTCCATACCTTTGACTATAGTTGTAAAATAGACATACAATTCTAAAGTGGTATGGGCAGTTTGCTGGGGTTTTATTTATATTTAGCCTCTAAAAGCATTTTCAAATGTGGATTGCTGTAGCAAAGCAATGTTTTAAAACTCTGAGTATCCTTGTTGCAATTGAAAAAATAATAATGTTGTTGTACATACTGAAGGGGTAGTTTAAATTGCTATAAAAATACTATAATTTAATAAAAGGCATAATGAAAAAATTATTATGTCCCGATTAATTGTTGCTGAACCAAAAGTAAGCGTAAGACTAACAGCACTAGCAGAATGCAATTTGGGCAGCTTTATTGACTTTACTAGCATTTTTTCTTCTTGATATCTTTCTTTTTTTAAAAAACAGAGGGGTAATGTACATATTCACATGTACTCTAACATGTTCAATTCATCCAGCTGTAAAGTTTTACTAATGCGCCTTTTTTATACAATTCTTAATATGCATATCAGGAAAATCTATTAATGAGACTATTTGAATCAAATATTAGCAAAATGATCATATTTACATCACCACCTTAACGTGTAAGCCACGAAGATGTGTTTGTACAGCAAATATAGGCAGTATAAAACTGAATATAATCAAATGACCCTTGAATAGTTTAAAAAATAGAGCTTTAGTGAAAACAGAGCGGATTTGCGGATACATATTTCAAAGTTTAAATTAGCCCCAGAAATAATCTGCATGTTCGTTACTTTCGACCGCACGCTGGGAGAAACCGAAAGTAACCTAAATATATAGTACAGTACTTCAAATGTCCAGTAGGTGGATTATGATTCACTACCTTACAAATTCAATTATGAGAAACTATTTCCAAATAGAGCTATTTAAGTCGTCTGGTGAAATTGTGTTCATATCACAAATGCAGCAGATTTAATCACAAAAAAACAACACATCGCTATGTCAGATTTTTCCAATATGGAGCAGCCCTAGTCCATATAAATACTGTACACATACATGAAAATGAATCGATATATTATGCATGTCAGGCCAATAGTTGCCAGTGTCACTTATTGTTATTGTAAATCATCCTTGAGCACCGAAAAAGTCAGTATATAAAATAACTAGCTCTCCTTTGACTTTGTCCATGATTTATCAGGGATTTCTAAAGCGGAATGAACCTCCAATTACTCTTATAAATGTTGTATGCAAGTGGATGCCCTTCCAGCTGCAACCCAGTACTGGGAAACACCTATATACTCTTACATTCTCACACACACACACACATGCACATTTGATTCATTTTATTTGGAATGACTAATACTAATTAACGCAACGCAGCATCCAAATAATCGTAAGGAACCCATGATGTTTCACAGTACAAGTAGCATACAACCATTGATGATCTTTTGCGTGGCACTATTAAACACTCAATCCATTCTGCGCGTAGTATTAAGTAAATGGATTAAGGATAGAGATGGCATCGTCTTCTCCACACATGAAGACTGCCTATTATTGCAGATACAGAACAATACATTGCAATTTGAGTCCGGCAATTTGTAGTCCCCTCACACACAGTTTATGAACGTGCCCTAGGCTACCGTAAATTAAAACCACCAACTTTGTGTTGTAGCCACACACACACACACACACACATACACTTCAACCAATTTA